TAAAAATCGCACGCTGGTAAGCAGGCTATTAGATAGCTTTTCGTGTAAGAATCACCATGCACAAAAAAAGTTCGGCATAGCTGTTAGCGTAATCACGGGACGAGATAATCAGTTTCCAGCCGTCAGAGCGTCATCTATAGGAGCTATGCCCTAACTATAACTTTTACATTTCAGCCGCCAGGGGGATACCTAAGTCCTCTTACTTGGAATCTAGTTAAAGTCAAAAGATTTATATTAGACGTTTATGAAGATAACTTGGGACTGGTTGTTAAGTTGCATGCTCACGGCGGGCTGTCATCAATTTATCTCTATACATGTCTTATCTGATCGATGAAATAATACAGGAATCCGTTGTCATTCGAGTGTGTTTCATAATAGCTCTTCCGACTTTGACGAATATCGACAGTGCCGTAACAAAATTGGTAGTTCAGGTATAGACTGCAACTGCAGTTCTTTTGCAACTTATTCCTTAATCAGATGAACACTTGTCAGAGATTTATTGGGCGTACGATATTGGCGTGCGAACGTAGGGGCCAAAAATGCGCGTCTACGACCGACTTCTTTTTAAGAGAAAAGAACCGCTGAAGCAAGAATCGACCCACCGACCTATCGTCCATCACACCGAAACTCTAACCATTCGGGTACGGCGACACATACATGTCTGATAGCCATGTACAATGCAAAAATAGTCTCAACTCAAATCTAGCCTCAATGCATGCATTGTCGCGGCGGATGGCTATGACGTCGCACTAGAGATGTCGCTAGTTGATGGGCCGATTCGTGTAATACAATTGGCGAATACGCGGCCCGGCGCGGGTTAATATTCTCCATTTTGACCTTTGACCCTACCTTGACAGGTCACATGACCTCAAATTTCAAATTTCAGGATTGCATCTGATGCGTCTTGGTGAGGCTTTCCACCCTAATACATGGGAGCAGCATCAAATCACATGGTTGAACGTTTGAAACCACAAAAAGCTTGCAAATGCGCAGCTAATTCGAGCCGACATACGCAAAATTGCGATTCCAGCCAAACATGGTCTCGAAAAGTAGCACACAGGTCAAAGGTCATTTGGGTCAGTGTCATGAAATTTTCAGGGTAGGTGTAGAATTGAGCAGTGCGAGGGTACGGAAAGTTTCGTCGCGATTAACCGCTATTTACGCGAGTTATTCGCGAAAAATCCTTGGGAGGGTTGCATCAACCCATGTGCCGGCGAGGGTTAACCTTCCAGGCGGTGGGGGGGGGGGGGCATTTTTTGCCCCCCCCTTTAGTTTTTTCGGTATATCTACAGAACCGCTGCGCCGATCGTCACCAAACTTTCAGTACCCTCCCGTGAATAGCTATTGCACATTTGGATCAAAAATTTTTCCAAACGCTATGATAGGTTGGCCGCTAATGACGTTAGAGTGACGTCATTTCTGCCATTTCCGACCCCAAAAAAAGGTTTCGCGGGAAGAGCTGTCAGGCCTACAGCTTTAGAGATACAGAAAAATGTTTCAGACATAAAAGGTGCAGAATTAAAAGGGCTACAAAACTGTTATCTCGGATTCTTGAAATTTTAGGATTTTGACTCCAAAAATACAAAAATAGATTTTTTGAATATAATAGCCATAAATCCAAAAGTTTTTTTGAATTTCGTAAAAAACGGAATATGTTTGATAGTCCCTACCACCTTCTATCTGCATACCAAGTTTGAGATCGATACCTCTTTTTTGGCCAAGTTATAGCAAAAAAAAAAAACTGTTCAAAATTGATAACATCAAATTTTCAAACTTCATTTTTAGCAATTCTAGACCTCGTAGCGCAAAACAAAGACCACCATAAGACTCCCCGTGACGAGCTGCATCGAATCAATATCCAATTTATCCAAAACTATCAACTTTGAAATTTGACCTTTTGACCTGACCTTGACCTGACCTCCACCAGAAAGTGACCTAAGCCGTACCTGATGGTCTTATAACCAACACCATTGAGTTAGAAATGAAAATTGGCCATAAAACATGCATCGCACAACCTTAGTAAAGTTGCGTTCATGTGGTGACCCTTGGTGACCTGACCTGTGACCTGACCCGGTATGACCAGTGACCTCTAATAGCAAAATATGTACTAGACAACTGACGCCCTATCGCTGATTTTCGACAAAATGTGTTTTACTCGGTGTTATAGCGCTTTCCCTAGAAGACCCGTGAACGGTGAAACATTTTATCTTTGACCTGACCTATGACGTCATCGGTGACCCCGAGGTCAATGAAATTTGGCTTCCGTCGATAAATTTGACAGGGCTATCAAACGCCGTTGGAATTTTCCGGATCCGTCCAGTAGTATCGGAGATACGGGGGGGGGGGCAAAAATGCCCCCCCCCCACCGTGCGGAAGGTGGCCGGGAGGCCCACCGCCTGCCGGGTTAAGTTTCGCAAATAACTCGCGTAAAAAGCATCCGATTGCGACAAAACACTCTACCCTCGCTTTGTTCAATTTTACATCTACCCTGGAAGTTTTATGACCCTGACCCAAATGATCTTTGAACTGTGACCTACCTTTCGAGACCATGTTTGGCGGAAATCGCGATTCGGGGTATGTCTGCTCGCATTAGCCGCGCGTTTGCAGTCTTTTTGTGGTTTTAAACGTTCAAACATGTGATTTGATGCTCCGATGCATTAGGGTGGAATTCAAGGTCACCTGAAGGTTAGGTTAGTTCATTGACCTTTGATGACCTCAGTTCGCTGTTTCGAGATTTATATGCTTCTACGCTAGTTTTTGGAGCTGACTTCGATTTTAGCAACCATACGAACATTTAAGAAGTAGTTTTGGTGCCTTCGTAGCATGTTACGAAGCAGTCAGAGGCGGTTGACACGTACTACGAATACCCATCACGACCCCTACTGGTTGACCTGACTTGACCTGACACGACTTGGCCTAAATGCATAAAGACATCACCTGTGCTCAAAACTAACATGATATTCGTGATCAGCACCCCGAAAAACCTATTAGCAGCCCCACTTTACGACGTTCTAACTGATCCCGATCTTCCCGACTTTTGGGTCATTGACCTGACCTGGTAGATCAACCGATGACCTAGGACCTTCAAGTTGGGTATCATCCGCTTCCTCTTGTCACGGGCAATACGCTCGTTTTTTCCGCGAAGCTCTAGCTCAATCAGGGCCCAAACGGAATGGGTCGTGCCCCCTCCCCTCCCAAGTGCCGTCGAAGGGCGCAAAATGGCCTGTGCCGGCGAGGTTTAACCCTCCCCTTTGTCAGGTCATGTCAGGTCACGGAGTTATGACGTCATAAAGGGAACAACCTCCGGCCAGATTTACGCTAAATTGGAGATTGCTTCACATTGGTATAAATGCCGACTGACCTGACACACTGATGGATTGTTTTAGAATCACAACTGGCTGATTTGACATTGGCACAATGTCCGTTGACATTTTGAAGGTTACTAAAGGTCAAGGTAAGGTCAGTGACCTCGGTTGACCTGTAATGACTTCTTGCACTTGTATGCCTTTTCGGGGTATTTTGATGCCCTGAATTCGAATTTGCTATCCATTTCAGGCATCGTCGGTTGTTTCTTGTAGTTCATTTTGGGTCAGGGTCAGGTCAGTGACGTCACACGCCTGACGTGACCGAATGCACAAATGACCTTGCAGACTTCCGATGCTCCCAACGCATCATTTTTAGAGTTATGACATCGAAATATACACCAAACGATAGAGAATTGATCAAGAATCACGTTAGTGAAGGTTTCAAGTCGATATCTCTTACCGTTTTGCCGCAATCGGCGCGGAAATATGAAAAAGTTAGATTTTTTCCGAAAATTTGACCTCTGACCGGTCATAAGTAGGTCAAATGTTGACCTAGGACCAAAAAATATACCACCAATCGCGAGATCTCGTTGAGGGCAATCCGTTGGTCTTTTCCGCTAAGCTCTACGACGCTCCGTTTTCAAACGCCAGGGGGGGGTCGCACCAACCCCCCCCTGCATGGGCGAAGGTGGCAAAACACCGTTTACGGGCGAGGGTTAAGGTCCTGAGTCATTGGTTGATCTTCCGGGTCAGGTCAATGACCTAAAAGCTGGAAAATTGAGACCTGTAAAAACTTCGTTAAGTGAGGTTAAAATGTTTTTTTTTCGGGCTTCTAATGACGAATTTCATGTGAGTGTTGATCACAAATGATATTTTATGCCCTTCGGCCAAGTCAGGTCAGGTCAGGTGAGATCAACCAGTAGACGACCTGCCAGCAATCCATAGTAGGTGTCAACGGCCACTGACAGCTTCGTACCTAATATGTTACGAAGGCGCCAAAATTTCTTCGTAGGTAGTCTTTCAAATGGGAATTTGAAATCAGCTCCAAAAACTACCTCAGAGGCATGCAAAACTCGAAAAAGTGAACCAAGGTCATGAAAGGTCAATAGCCTTGCCCTGACCTTCACGTGACCTTAACACTCACCGTAATGCATGGGACCAACATCATTTCGCACGTCTGAGCGCTTACAACTATGAAAAGACTGAAAATACGTGGATAATGTGAGTCGACATACCCCGAGTCGCAATTCCGGCCAAACATGGTCTGAAGGGTCACAGGTCAAAGGTCATTTGGGTCAGGGTCATGCAATGTTCAAGATAGATGACTAGATGTAAAATTGACCAGCTTGGGAGTGCTGAAACTCCTGAAAGTTCCGTCTCGATCGGCTGCTTTTTGCGCGAGGTATTTGCGAAAAACCGAGGGGGGGGGGTCCGTTCGATTCCCATTTTAAGTGCAATGATGGCTGATCCCAGACGCCTTCTGCTCGTTTACGTTTGCCAGTCACCTTGTTACCCGTATACCTTTGCACTCTCGAGATTCGCACAGGCGTTATTTGGGTAGGTAACATTTTTATTTTAGCTTGATCAATATCATGAGAGATTTCTTTTCGGGGACGGAGCTGATTTTTGCATCACAGCACGATTTGGCGGTACTTTGCTGACCGGTTTGAGGTGCCTCGTTTCTCCGCAACTGACCTTTGAACTCGTGATGTCGAAGTCGGAGCACACTGTGTTGCAGATCCAACACCGCGACCAGTCTGCCTTTCTGTTTAGATACTTTTCGTTCTCCAAGTAGCCCTGGAGCAGCGCGGTGACCTCCTCGAAGGTGGCGCCGCGCTGGTGCGGTGCAGGGTCGCAGCGCCAGAACGGCGAGTCCAGGTGCCGCAGCGCCAGGCTGACCTCCTCCGCCAGTTTGGCAGAGGTGGCCTTGTAGGTGTCGGTGAAATGCTGTGCTTCGACCACAAACGAGCCTGCAAGAGAACAATACCTATCAATATAGTGCGGGCTCCTTATGTTCTGTTGGTCGACATATGGTCGGAGCGGATGGCTAGGGGAGAGTGGGGTAATTTGGCCGGTGGTGTAAATTGGCCGCCCCCACCTGTACGATGTCTAATAAAAGTGAGTGAAATAACTCTAATCTCTATTCATTTGTCATGGGTAGAGTAGAAATAACTGGAGGACAAATGTCAAAACTTTGCCCCTTGTAGTTTTATTCAAAATTAATAAAACGTTAATTTCATTAGAAAATGGTAACTTTTACTTCTGTTTACAAAGTTGTATAACATGTAGTATTTGGGCTAAAAACGAATTCAGACATTATAGCGCCATTCTTGGGGGTGTTCAGCGGTTCCAAGAGCAATTTTATCTAATTCCGTAAAGCCGTGATGACTTTATAGACAAAAATTTTCAGAATGGCAATATGGGGTAATTTGGCCGCAACTAGCGGGGCAACTTGGCCGGTGCGCTCATGGTCACTATGCTGGGACGGCCGAGTTTTCATGGTCAATTGTACCAAAATGACATGATTCATGACCAACTTTGACTGCTTTGATTCCTTACTTCCGATTGGTCAACTGTAAGAGCATGTGACGTCATCAAAGGTTACCAAACGTTTTCTGCTAATAAATCCTTACATAAAAATGGTACAGCCGCACAAATGGTCTCATTCTGTTCAGCTCGCCAAGGCGCATCGAATGATATGCATGATGACCTTGAAATCACGTGACCTTGAGGTCAAGCGACCTGATGCAACGTGACCTGAGGTCAACCTTTGACCTTGACTTCTCAAGGTCAACACATATATCTTTCGATGCGAACTGACGAGAGAATTACGATGGTACTCGAAGTTTTGGCCTAGCTTCATTACTTCAAAAGTTATTCGTAAAAAAACTGTGATCGCCTCTAGAGCCGCCAATTTGGCTATTTTGACTCCTGTGACACCTGAGCCAACCTCCAAAATGCGGCAAATGCGTCATAGGACACACGTCATTGCTGAATCTGAAGCTGACTCGCAATATAACAGAAAATCCCGACCGCAAACTAACACCGGCCAAATTGCCCCACACCCCCGGCCAAATAACCCTGCTAGTGGGGCAATTTGGCCGCCTTGCAGACCTTTGTAATACGTCACAATTTCAATATAAGTAATTACTCTATCATTTCAAGTTCACTGTCCAGTAAAGTAAAATGAATGCGACACCTGCCAGCGTTGAGAAAATGCAGAAATGTGTCGTCAATTTTAAGTTATATCGTTTTCTAAAAAAAGCGGCCAAATTACCCCACTCTCCCCTACCGAGATAGCATAGTTTTAGCCACCAATCCCGTTTTTCAAGGTTTAATGTAACAGCCAGCAGCCACCGAGTGCTCCTACCTTAACGTTTCGCCTGCTTACATCCCTTTATCACATTTTCACTTCGTCACCATCCGTTCCGTCGATTCAAACCTCAGGACAGTCACATCCTTTTCCTCCACGCCGCAACCCCTGATCCGGGCTGGACGGGCAACCTTATCCCAACCTTATTCGGACGGGCTCAGTCCCGGTGACTCTCTAGGGTGCCCGCCCAGACCAATTTCTCCCCTAATTTCTATCATCCTCCCGGCTCTGCAACAGTCACATTTGACCGAAAGAAGCCTAACCCAACAAAACAAAACAAAACAAACTTCGTCACCTTACCGTAATAACTTACCACTATTTTTGTGTCACCGTGTGTACCTTTATCAAAGAGTCGAAGCAGCATATAGGCAAACTGGGTCATCACGTAGTCTCTGGCGAGTACGGTGGTCACCATGTGGTAGAGGTGGTAGGCCATCTGCTGAGGGGACGTCCCCAATCGGCACACCGTGCCACGAGACGCCTGCAAACGCGGCCGGCATTAAAGCGTCAGCCATAGCAATGGCAGACATAAAAAGCCGTGCACCCACATAAGCTCTTCAACTAATGACCTATTGGTGCATCAGTGACACTTGCACTTGTTCCCATTCGGGGGGGGGGGGGGCACGTTTTCATTCGGGGACCAGTTGGGCCGATCGCCCCTGAAACTGGTGCCTAGGGTACAGCTCGGAGCTAGAAGGAGCCAACAGTTCGAAGGGCGCCACGCACAAATCTGCCGAGGGACTCATCTGGCACGTGCACAAGTGTGCCAGCGCTATTTCACTCGCTCGTTTGCCGCCCAGCCTAAGAACGGAATATCTAGCCAATTATGATTTGCTCACCGATGCACCTATCTAGTATGTACTTACCTTCCTACCGGTAGTCCTTCGCTCTCACCTCTACTACAGACTGAAATTGCCTGAAGAGGCCCTGCTTGATGGTGTATCGCCTTTGTCGGCCATTTCTAATGGTGGTCCATCCGCCACCTTTAGTGACGAAAGGTGCTGCCTTGCTAGACCACAGGGGTGTGCGAGTCTCCAGTACTACGTCCCGGAGTCTGTACATTGTCGTCTGTAGCGAGCGAGGAGCGTGGGACACCGCGTTGTTGGCAAAATCCAGCAGCGTCGAGTTCTCCACAGTGCTGGCGTTCCTCTGATACAACAGGAATCGGTCGTAGTTGCTAAAGAGAGAGAGAGAGAGAGAGAGAGAGAGAGAGAGAGAGAGAGAGAGAGAGAGAGAGAGAGAGAGAGAGAGAGAGAGAGAGAGAGAGAGAGAGAGAGAGAGAGAGAGAGAGAGCAGGAGAGTGAAACATTGACTTGAAACCAGAATCAATCGGTATCAATAGGTGCGTACTTTTGTCTCCAAACCGAATCATCCTTATGCAGATGACCTGTTTCATTTATCATGTTGATGACCTGACACATTAGTCTGTTGATGACCTGACACATAAGTCTGTTGATGACCTGACACATTAGTCTGTCGATGACCTGACACGTTAGTCTGTCGGTGATAGGCTGACACGTTAGTCTGTCGGTGATAGGCTGACACCTCACCTGTTGACGTCCATCAGCAGCTCTTCCAGCGTCTCCACGGTGAGCTCCCAGCTGACCCGGAGACCGACCGACTCCAAGTCTCGCAGCGCCGTCATCACCAAATTCACGTCGAACTTGAGGTCCCGAGAACTGATGGCCACAGTGGAACAAGAGACTGTTTTAACGGAAAAAATATATCACCGATAAGCAATAGCAGATCTATTCGAATATAAGCGGTCGGTGTGATTTTCGACATTTTTTTACATGAATATCTACATTATAATGTAGAACGAACGCAGACATCTTGCACATCGGCACTCTGTTCAATAGCATATACATACGAGTATAGTAGAATGTATATGCTTCTCAAGATATGAAACAATTAAATGCAATACAATCATACGGGTCACATAACGACTGTGCTTATATGAATCACGGTCCACACTAGCCGTTTTCACGACGGGCTATCCGGCGAATGCACCCAATTTGACCAAATCTGCACCTAATCTTTTTTACAGGAAATATTTTTATTTTGTGAATGTATTTCACTATTTCAGTGTTTTACTTGATGATACTCTCTGATAATATGACAAAGCAGGCATATAAGCAATTAGTGCAACCCTAGCTGATGCTATTACGAGATACACTTAACCTAATTTGACCAAATCTGCAACTAATCTGCACCAAATGTGCACCAGATGGCCGTCGTGAAAACGGCTACTATCGCGACTCGACCACATAAATACGAGTAGGCTCACATGTTGTCGAAGTGTCGTAGCAGCTCCTGATGCTTGTTGCCGCCGGTCAGACTGGATAGCGTGCTCCCAATGCCCACCAGTTTTCCGATAATGTCTAGTGCTGACGGCACGCGGTTATAAAGGGTTAATAGCAGATAACGAAAGGAAGAAACTGAAGAGGTCAAGCAGCCGCGCCAGTCTCGTGCGAATCGAAACATAGTTAGATGAGTAGAACTTCAGTGGTTGATATGGCATGGTCCGCAGCTATGATCATTCCTACATGTATATGTTACCTTGTTTACCACAAACAGCCTCGTATTATTTCTCGTTAGAGAGCTTGTGTGGTGTCCTACTTACACCAGGGAGACGGCGCTGCACCGTCCACGGCGCCACCTGCGACCAATATAGCTAGTAAATGCGTACCTGTTTTCAGACCCTTGGCGACGGCGGCTACTTTGCCATCGGCTGCTCCCGGCAGTGTGATGGCGGCGGTCGCCAGCAGGAGCAGCACGGCGCGCGACTTCATTGCTGCCTGCACACTCTGGGCGAACAGCAAATGATCACAAACAATAGTATCTAGTGGAGCCTGTCATGACAGTGCGCAATGAACATAATGATAATTGAACCGAACACCTTCCGAAATGGATCGTTATTTTCACCTGCCACCCAGTCAATCAAGGTGAAATCAGTCCATCGATCTTTGTAACCTATGACCGGTGTCGTCTTTATGAAACATTTCACTTGGTAGTTGGTTCACTTTCTGCCTTCTGGTGGGACCAATTCAGAAACCCTTGACATCTCGAGAAATGCAAGGTAGCCGGTAATAAATGTCGCGACTGGACACTTTCTAATTTTGAGTGTTGTCGCCATGTCGAACCCAATTTAGGGAATATTGCATTGAAGTGTCTATTTACCGTTTCAGGTGGCCGTCTATTTGCCTCTTTTCCAGTCACCTCATAAGATACGGCGCCCATCCACTGACCTGGTAGCTGCAGTGTGCGGCGGGATATCCCGAGACCCTGCAGGCTGGACCGGCGCCGAGCCGCTCCTCTTGACCACTGCCCCGGGCCTGGGCGGGACGCCTCACAGCTGGGGCAGCAGCGGGTGCAGAGGCCGCAGTCACGTGTCCCAGACACAGCTTCCCTATAGTCGGGGTCACGTGGTGTCAGTGATACGCCCACCGGATGGACCGCGGCTGTCGCGCAGATGGCCCCGGGACTGCAAGGGTAGTCCCCAGAGCGCTGAGCTGCCCCTCTCGGCTTAGTCATGGCACGTCCCTCGGGCCCGACAGGCCGTGTTTGTCGGTTTCATCGCCACACACATAGCCAGATATTGTGTGCATGGATCTGAGAAAAGGGATCGGGGATCTGATTCCATGATCCTGATCTCGAATCCAATGGAGTCGTATATCATATTCATCATACAGCTCTCTCATTTTGTCGGAGATTCATTGGGATTGTGGATAAGCTGCGGTAAGTCTTACCTGCATAAAACTACTTGGTAGGCGCCGAACACGTTTCACCAGCCACGAGGGAAAGACAAGCATCGTACCTATTATTGATCCGTCCTTGGTTTGTCTTCAGATCCCAATGACATCATTAGGCTGGGAGTGAGATTTCCATGTGGGATCCAATGGGGTCATGGGTCCAAATCTGCAGCTTGGCTCGAGATATACAGGGTGATCCAAAAAATTTGGAACCCCTAGCTTAAAATGTCTGTAAGTCCGAAAGTTTTCACTTTATTGACAAATTGCAAACACCATTAGAAAGAGCATTAAATCTTCTATAAAATCACGTCAAATTAATTTATGTATGTTGTAAAGCATTGACACACTATTAGCTTTTGGAATGAGCGTCAGAATTAGAAAACTGAGTGAAACGAAATCGCCAATTGTTAACAATGCACTGAAGTCCATTAGCACTCCATCTGTTGTTTTTTTTTTTTGCGAATAACACCACATCCAATTTCAATTTTATTACATAAAAGTTTACACAGAAGCACACCATAGAACAAATACACGCGTCCTAGCTTCCGCTGTTCATCACAGCATGTGCTCAAACCGAGCTCCGTTGGCCGTCACGCGGGCCTGCGGTCGCTTCGGGACGGCTCCGACGGCGCAGGCCAGCAGTCTCTGGGACAACTGATCCCAGCAGGCCGTCAGCCTTTCCTTCAGCTCCTCCTCTATGGTGCTGATCCTCTGACCTCTATACATAATTCGCTCCAGTTCGCTCCACACGAAGAAGTCCAAAGGGTTGAGGTCAGGACTCTTCGGTGGCCAGGCGTCTGGCTCGATGAGGGCCGGGCAGGCCTGTTCCAGAAACTCGACCACTGAGTGGGCCGTGTGGCACGGAACACCGAATGACTATTTTTTTTTGCGCCTGTTGAAATTTAAATTCCTTACAATAGCACGTGAATGAGCTATTTTTATTCATGAACCTCCAACATGCGACATGGTCAGAACAGCAAACCGCAAATCACTGATTTGCGCATAATGTTCGAAACCGTTTCAGTGAGTTTCGTGACACCAATTTTATAGGCATATAACTAGGGCAATATTTGTAATAATAGGTAAGTTCAATCAGCTTGGTTTTATAGAGAATTGAACGCTCTTTCTAATGTTCTTTGCAATTTGTCAATACTGTGAAAACTTTTGGACTTACGGACATTTTAAGTTAGGGGTTCCAATTTTTTTGGATCACCCTGTACATACATACACTGAGGTCACAAATGCATCCCTCGGGTTTCTGCCACATGGCTGCGGCCTTGATGGCTGTCTGCCCGCGGCAGGGGCAGCGGGGCCTGAGCCATGTGGACATGGGCTGACCGCAGTAAAAATAAACAACTTTTGACGGTGATTCCAGTACGCCTCGTGTTGAATTTCTCCGGGGAACACCCATGTTGCTGCTCTGCTACGCCTCATGATTTAGGGGAGGGCCTCATACGTATGGGAGGGCCGGACCATTATCCGAGGGGTGATAGGTACATCGGTATATCCGTTCATCAGCTTTGAAAACTGGTAAAAAGTAGTATATTTTAGGGACACATAGCGCCAATCAGTTTAGAACCGCAAACCGATTTGGACGGTTATGGTGTTGGAAAGCCAGCCACGCAGCCATCCTGTCGCAAGTCAGCATAGCCGTAAATATGCGATATGCTGCTTTTAATTTGGCGCAAAAACCTTTTAAAAAAAAAATGCCTATTTTAATGATTGGTTTCGGCCACACCACAGAGCTCTTTATATTTTTCACCATTTTTTAATGGCTCATGATGAATCAAAATATTCTTATCTCTAACGAGCCATCGTTAATTGTGCACAAACGTCACGATAACGACGTGACGTTATCTACCGTTGGGTCCTCGCCGGTATTCCACCGGCCTACCCTCCCGCCCCCTCCCTTGGCTGAGTGTCGGCCGTGCTCCCTCCCGCTAGCTGCAATCAAAATATTCTTATCTCTTACGAGCCATCGTTAATTGTGCACAAACGTCACGTTTAATTTGAGTGTGCTTAGTACGAACGGATGAGCTGTGTCGGCGTACCGTATGTCTAATAAGTATGTCCCCTGGTTTGACTCTCCCACGGACATTTTTAGACATACCTACCTACTATACCTACTATAGTCAACTAGTGTGACCACCGAACGAGCGCGCCCGGCCTCCGCTGGTGTCTGACAGGACAGAGGTCGCCAGCTTGAGCTGAATGTGATCGTGCTGACAACTGATAGGTGATGTCGGCCGAGGGCCGTCAGTATCCATCCGCCGCAGTGAAAAACAGCAGTGTTTCTGTGGCGGCGGGATCATGTGTTACAAGTTATGTCTGCGGTGGAACGGTCCGACATGGTGGTTATTGCCGTCCGACGTCCTATAATCTCACACCGTGCAGGCGGACCAATAGCCCATTGATCTCCTGGCAGAGGAGGCGACGTCTAGCACTGGGGACGACTTGTGGCGTTTTTTCATATCTGTGTGACGTCACCACACCCCGCCGGCGGCGGCGGCAGCGCGGAGGGAGCGCATGCCTCCCGGAACGGTCGTGGGCCATGCGCGCTGCCGCACGAGTGCAGTGGCCGTATGTATGTACTTACATACACTGGGTGGGTCCGTCCGAGCGAGCCGTCGCCCGCGGCGAGGTCACTCCCCCTCTCCCGTCCGCGCGTCCACTATCTGCCCGTCCCCTGTCCGCCGCCCGCCCGTTTTGGCTGACCGTCTTTGTCAAAACTGTCCACTCTTGCGTCGTCACTGCGGCAAATTGTGGCCGCAGAGGTCCCCTGCCGGTCACTACTTATTCCGAGTGTAAAACACGTCACACATACTGAGACAGGAATGGGCCTACAATCACCGGGTTTACCACTCGGCGCTCGGAAACTTGGAAATATTCATGAGTTTAGGCAAAAAAACGTGTTACTAAGTAACTCACTTTTGATTTGATTTATCCCAAGTCATACTGAAGAATAATGCACATCTGAATGCAATAATGAAAAATGACTTGAGATCGCTCGGGGTAAATCGTTTTTCTTTTTGCATGGCTTTTATCATTCTGCTTGGACATTTGTGTGATTAGTTCGAAAGTGTTTCCGTGCTCATTGATTCCGTACATAACTAATAACTATACCTACCACTTACCAGTCTTCTGGCACAATATATCATTGTAGCATTTCGAAATGCCATTAAAGTTAATCAAAGTGTGCTCTTCAAATTACATGAACCTCTCGTAACTTTGGATGTAAATCATGTTTGTTTGCCCGCACCATTCAATGGCTGCGAATTCCGTTGATTTAATGTCCTATGGAACGATCCACGACATAGACATCACAGCTCATTTAGAGACACATTTTGTTGTTCAACTCGCGTCTGATTGCTATGGATAGATGTCATAGATTGAAATGACACGGTTCGAAGTTGTCTCATGTGGCATATAGTGTGATTTAGGATATGTACTGCTATAAGAGCCATTCAGGCTATAGATAGTGCCCTTGAATAATAATTTGATGGCATATCGTATGATGCACTTGCTGCGATAGGTACCTAAGTACCTACTCAGCGAAATGGTAGAAGGATGGGACTCTTGTATCTGTACATGAGCAATGAATGGTCAAACATCGTATTGCTTCTGGTCTCTCTCTCTCTCTCTTTCTCTCTCTCTCTCTCTCTCTCTCTCTCTCTCTCTCTCTCTCTCTCTCTTTCTCTTTATTTTCCTTCTTATTCTTCGAACTTCCAGAACTTCCTTTTTGCGCAGCTGCACGGTAGGCCATTCTTTGGCAGCGAAAGATATCCGTATAGGAAACATTCAACCTCTCATGTCTCATATTCAATGATCACTTATGAGCATAATTTTTAGCATTCATTTCCTTGTAATTGCATTGTATCAATAATATCAATAATTGCATAGGCGATCGCTGAGAGATCGTCAAATGTGTCCGCTGGACGGGGATTGGAAGCGGTCCGCCCCATAATTCCCGAGTCAGTCATCACCGCCTGGGCGGGTGCCGGGCGGTAGGACAGCGCCGCGGCCGTGCAGTCGGCGGGGCGGGAGCTCACAACGGCCACTAACTGTCATAATGTCGGCCATTTAGCGGCGACTGATGGCGGCGATCGGCAGGCGCGCGGCGGCGGCGGGGCCCGCTCTGTAGGAGCCGGAGATGGCACAAGTGGCGGCATGTTCGCGCTGCGCCGCCAACCTTCGGCGGGCCACAGGGCCGAGCGGCGCTGAGTGACGGCCCCGACACGCCTTCAACAGCCAACCGCGGTGACTCTTCCCGTCACTGAAACTGCCGACCGGCCAACGGATCGTCCGACCTTGGGGCTGAGCCACGGCGGCGCGGGGTATCGACAGCTGAACGGCCGTCATCCGCCGCACTAGGGAGGTGTCCGAGCGTGTATTTATTGTCCGGACATGTATTTATTGTCCGGACATATAGCTATTATCCGGACATGTAGTTGGTACCAGCTGAACGTGGCACGGGGTGGTCTAAGGTCGGGGTAGGATATGAATTAGGTGTTTGGCTGCCATGAAAACGCGTCGCCTGAACCGTGGTTTGTTAGTTTATTTCAAAATATCGTGAGGATGCTCATAAACAAATAATGAACAACTGCCAAACAAAGTTCCCGATGCAAAGTTTACAGGATGCAGATGTTGATCGCAGATTGCGCTTGGTGCTGACGAGTTTTGGCCCGGCAGCTGCTGAGCCA